AATTTGGGAGTCAATCAATGCATAGTAGGCCGTTTTTGCAGAACTGCAAATTCAACTCCTTAGAAACTACCCTCACTGCATAACACCCAGAGGAAATTTTACTTCTGAGCGGTCTCAGCGGTCATACAGACGACTGTTATTTCTGCTTAACTCCTCCCATTGAGCAAGGTTTATCTATGAAGAAAAGAGGAACGGTTAAATACCCTAATCTCCCATCTGCTCTTCGGCCTGTACCACACTCAGACAATTTGCCAGTCCCTTCTCCACCCCAAAACTATGAAATTTTAGAGGAAGGTGATGAAGACTGTTTAAAAGGAGCAACCCATCCTTCTACATCCTATGACCCTGATTTTGAGGTAAGCGATAGGTCTAGTGATCCGCACAGAATTAGTCAAGCAGAGTTGAGTGACCTTATAAGAGATCTTCGCTTGTCTAAGGAAAAGGCTGAGCTGTTAGGGTCAAGACTACAACAGTGGAATCTTCTAAAACATGATGTGAAAATATATCAGTACAGACAGCGTCAAAAAGATTTGCTTCCTTTTTTTGAGAAAAAAGAAAACCTCGTAGTTTGTTCTGATGTTAATGGTTTGATGGACTGCTTGAATTTGGATCACACTCCATCTGAATGGAGACTGTTTATAGACTCTTCAGAACTAAGCTTAAAAGCTGTACTTCTGCATAATGGAAATCAGCTACCCTCTATTCCTATAGGTCATGCAGTTCACATGAAGGAAACGTATATAAATATGAAAACACTTCTCCAATCAATCAAATATGAACAACACAAGTGGCACATCTGTGGTGATCTGAAAGTCATTGCTATACTCCTAGGAATGCAATTAGGGTTCACCAAGTACTGTTGTTTTTTGTGTCTGTGGGACAGTCGAAATAGAAAATCTCACTATATAAAAATGAACTGGCCTACACGAGACCTAAACCCTAATGAGAAAAATGTAGTTTACGAGCCTCTTGTAGATCCTAAGGATGTTCTCCTTCCCCCATTACATATTAAGTTGGGACTAATGAAAAACTTTGTGAAGGCCATGGACCAGGAAGGACAAGCTTTTAAGTACTTGAGAGCAAAGTTTCCCAGGTTGAGTGATGCTAAAGTCAAGAAAGGCATCTTTATTGGGCCTCAAATCCGTGAAATCGTAAATGATCCTGCTTTTGACATGATTTTAACAGGAAATGAAAAAAGAGCCTGGGAAGCCTTTAAGGGGGTTGTACATGGGTTTTTAGGTAACAAAAGAGATGATAACTTCACAGCATTGGTTAAAGAGCTTCTTCAAGCTTACCACCAACTTGGATGCAACATGTCCTTAAAAATTCATTTTCTTCACTCTCATCTTAATTTCTTCCCAAAAACTGTGGAGCTGTGAGTGACGAACATGGAGAAAGATTCCATCAAGACATTGCCTTAATGGAACAGAGATATCAGGGCCGTTGGAATGAAGCAATGCTTGCAGACTACTGCTGGTCTGTGTGTAGGGATGCTCCAGAAGTGTTTTATAAAAGACAAGCTAAACGACAGCGATCTTAGAATGAATCGGACGGACTTAATTGAAATTTGGTGGTACAAACTTCTTTTATTTGTCAAAACACTGAGAATAATGTTTTTTTTTATTAATTTTGTACTTAAAATATTCTAAAAGAAACATAACAATATTGTTTTATGTACTTTCACTTTTCACGTATAGTATAACTACTCTTTAAGATTAAGTACTGTGTATCTCAAAAACCAGAGCTAATAAAAATGTTTCATTGTTATTTTCGTTTTTATCACCCCAAAATTAGTAGGAATTGACTAATTTAGTGTAGGAAACATTCAAAAAATATTTTTTTGTTGTGTTGTGAAGTTGTGCCCTTGAACCCATAACGATGGAGCTTTCTAAGCAGTATATTGAGATTAACGCAATCGAATGCTTTAGAGAGATCGAAGAAAATTGCTGCGGCTGCATCACCAGCATTTATTTCTGAATAAAGTCTGAAGAAGTGGTGGGGTGGAAGCTGAATTTAGACCCAGATCGGGCCCGCGTGCCAGACCTTGTTTAAGGTTTTTTGGTTGTTTAGGAGGATTGCGACTGTGCCGAAGGAGGAGTTGATGTTTTGGGAGGTATGGGGGTGGAGTTCGATGAGGGTGTTAGGGGTTGAGTATTAGGTAAAGTGTGATAACTATTCTTATAGAAATGTATTCAGAAAACACTTGATTGTGGAATTTTCGCTAAACAATTTTACAAAAATGCCTCACAAGAAAGAGTTTCTTGAATACGTTACGAATTTTCATCAAGTATCGACCAATTCCATCACATAAACAAATTCAAATTTGTTGAAAAATAAAATAAATGATACCACTACTACTACTACTAGACAAACACCGCACTGTTAACCTTGGCAAAATGGAATGGTTGTGCTGAATACCAATCAAACCGCCAATACAGGATCCGTAATTGCCTCTATATATAGCCGTATCTGAAAGCCCGATTGAATTTCCGAACGACATCACTGAAATATCTATGATTGATCGAATTATCGAACTGTCAGCCAAATGTACTCGGCGGCTCTGAGAAATCCAAAATATTTGAACAATCTGTCGTTAGCCGGGCGATTCAATCTCGCAAAGGGCATCCCATGAATTTATTCATTTATAGCTTAGTTGATAAACACTTTTCGACCAAACTTCAGTTAAAGGTGCACATATGATATTTTTTCACTGTATAATAAAAAAGGGGATATTTTCAGGAAATATCAGTTTTTGGACAGATGATCTCAAGCTTTTTAGAAGAGTCGAATGCGAAAAAGATTCTGATATGCTTCAAGCTAAATGCAAAATAATGAGTTTTACACGAAGGAAGTCACCCACTATCATGGACTATTTCATTATTCACACCAATTTACAGAGAATCAATGAGATGGAAGATCTCGGGATCATTTTTACTGGTGTGTTCAGTTTCTCTCGGCACATTGAATACTTTATATCTGAATGTTATAGAAAAATGAGCTTTGTCTTAAGATCTAGCCAAGAATTCAATCACTATATACTTGTTTGTTACTCTTTAACTTTATTGATCGTTCTAAGCTTGAATATGGTTGTGTCATTTGAAATCTAAATACCTTCTGATATTTTGATACTACAGAAAAAGTCCAGAAACGATTATTAGGAACACTCTTTTTCAGAAAACACAATGTCTGGCCTTTATTTACATCGTTATTCTAGCCAATTACAAGAATTTAATATGCAACCATTGAAAGAGCGTCGTGAGTCCTCGGAAGTCATTTTTGTTTTTAACATTCTATACTATTGATTTTATTGTACCATGACGTAAGACTGAGCTGAATCTATTGAGTCTCTCAAACAATGTGTCTCCTTTTCAACAATGTCTCGAAACCGTTACCAAAATGATGAGGAACTGTGAACTGGATATATTTAATATTACAGAGGGACAACTCCTTCGAATGCTCAAAACGTGTCTGAATTTTGTGACGGTCATTTTATCATTTATTGTTTTATATTGCAGACTACATCACTCCTCCTCTTGTCCATATCATCAATAATTTATTTAATACTGACATCTTTCCTTCTATACTTAAAACATCTACAGTCATACCAATATACAAAAATGGCAATAAAACCGAAATGTCTAATTATCGCCCTATTGCACTGATATCTAACTTCAGCAAAATAATTGAGAAAATATCAAGTGCAGGGGAAAGACCTTGCTAAATTTTTTACAGACAAGTTTCTGAAATTCATTCACTGGATCTTCTGCCCCATGTATAGAATTTCAATCTTTGGTCTGACAGTTATTTTGAAATTGAACATATTTTTTTTGCTATTTATTGCTATATGTCTGAGAATGTGTTCGTACTGAAAATCTTGCTATCGAAATTATTATGTTTTTCAAGTGAATCTAAATTTTTTTGTATTTAGCCTAGAGTTGCCAGCTCAAAAATTTGTACAACAAAACAGATTGTTTCATGGCATTATTTTTATTTTACGTATTGTCAACTAATCTTGTTTAAGTTATTTAATTTTTCATTATTCGTAATCGAGGTTTTCCAATTGGACTTCAAATGTACGGTTCTCTTCTAATCCACTTATGCTAATAACATTCAATATTCCCAAATATCTTTTCCTAAACAACCTGAATATTTAAGCCTATTTCTATGTAAATATTATAAACTACAGAAGGCTACTTTTCAATTCTTCTGTTTTTTGTGTCCCTTATCTTGGGACTTGCCCGCTTGTGACCTTTCCTACGTATGTTAATCCAATGATCAATCTGGGCCCTTTTCTAACTACCGATGTGGAACATTTCCATTTTGTAAAATTCATTCATTACGTTTCAGAACTTGTAACAGTACAATAAGAATTAAATCTTGTCTGGTCTTTAGTACATCTAGCTAGTTATTTTTCTTATCCTATATATCTTTTCACTAGAGTTATTGTAATTCTTGTACCTATGCATTGAGTATTTCATACTCACGATAAAACAATCGTGGTCAAAACAGAATGTATGTACATATAATCGACATTTGGATAACTCATTTATGTTTTGCTGATGGTTTATTTTATCAAAATATCAATAATATTACAGAATATCTGTGAAATTACAGCGCCTTTCTATAACAGAAAGAACTTATTATGATCCCAACTAAACCCATCATTAGTAATAGGGGATTAGGCTTAATCTTCCTTCTAAACGACTTGAGTTTGCATAATAAAACGCCTAACCAATTCCGATCGTAATCAATGTCGAGTCGACACCACAAAAACGTTACGGTAGCTCATCAGAAAAAAAAATAACAAGAAAAACTCCATTATCACCGACTAAGCTTTCAGAAGCATCCAGATCGACAATCCGCCGAGCGCCACTCACAAAGGTGTGACGTAGAGACTACGTAGTTTCCGAGAGCTCTTCCTATTGGTCGTTCGAGACGTTCTAGAGTGAACTGACCGTAGTACGCGCAAAAGGTTAACTGTAACTCAGTCGAGTGTCGACTGCCGTGACAGCGTTGTCGTATATGACATTTTCGTTCGGTTCGGTTCGGTTTCCGACCTATTTCGTACACACACGTCCACAACAGGTTGAGTTTTCGCGGCAGCGAGTGTTTTTTGTCTTCCGTTACGGTATTTTGAAAAACGGCTTCTGGACCCGGGCTCGAACGGTATTTTGTTTTGCGGTATCGCTGGAGTTTCGAGAATGTTCCCAGGGATCGCGAGTTTTTTGCTCGGAAAGTGCGCGTGTGGGGTCAGAAAATTCTTCAAATGCACCAGCAATTAAGTGCTTTTCCGTCGAGATGTTTCCAGCTCGACTTGACAACAAAGCGGTTCAATTTACCGAACGTATTTGTAGGTATTTGACCGTGCGATTTGCAAATTAATTGGCCACCTGCAACCCAGTCTGTGAAAAATATTTGTCGTGCCTATTTACGTGATCTTAGTGCTGTGATATTTGAGTAAATTAATTGTGATACCTTCAATTCCCATAATGAAAATCAAAATGACTTGTAAATTGTGCGAAATGTCGATGGATCAGAAGTTCGGAGCGATCGGTTGTACGCACTCCCCTATTTTTATGAATGGTCCGGCGCCCCCTGCGGTGCATCCCATGGGGTTCGGATTACAAAACAACCCCTTCATTCAACTTCCGCAGATTAGAGACATGATGTTAGCAGCCTACCTGCTGAGAGGTGAGGAAATGATTTTGAATCAATTAAGTGGACTTTTGTTGCTTTTATATGAACTGAAAAGTGTTCATTGTTGGAATGAAATTGTCGGAACACGTTTCAAGTGCTGATTTTGCCATTTGTTTGATTGATTGGAGCTGGTGAATTGATTGAAAAATATTATCAGCAGGATTTTCCGCAATTTTACACGTGTTGATGCTGTTTTGAAGTATAACCAAACATTAAACCCGTTTATGGAGGAAGCAAATAAGCAATTGTCGTATATCACATCCAACTGGAAATTTATTCAAAGTTGTCTGTGGAAATCTTTGTTACTACCAAAATACTACTCACTTCAACTAAAATACGACAGAACCCCTTCTGAAGTTCTCATCAATCAGTTTAGACATTCGTAGATTTTTGGGAAAAATCACGTTTTGGATTTCTACTTTTCCATCTTTGTACAAAAAAATTTGGGAATCTGTTAAAGTTACAAATAAAGGAATAAATTTCAAAAAATTGACTCTATACAAAGGATGTGTCGACCATGCAAAGAAATAACCCTCTCGAAACAGCTACTTTCATGTAAACATCTCATATAAACTACTTTTATATGAATTATACAAAAAAACTTTACAGTTTGTATTCCAAACCTTCGTCATGAAATTGAATCAGATATCATTCACAGGACTGCTACACAATATAGTAAATGAAAGAGATAACATTTCACTTACATGGAACACCGTCATCCTCACTGGTGGACATCTGATGTTTCAGATTAAGTCACCTTCTTACCTCCTCAGCACCAATCTAGGTAACATAACAAGATGAAACACTCAATTCATCATATCACTCATATCATAGAAGAGAGTACGTGATGATATTCATTCGCTCATTTGATTAAATCACAGCCATAGGAATTTCCTTCAAATTAAAAGGATTATATTTTCAGGAGAGATTAATTTTTGTGGAAGAAAGATGTTGGCTTCCTATTTCCCCATCTTTATATAAAAAAATGTGGGAGTCTTCCAAAACAAGGAAAGAAAGCAGTCAGTTTCAAAAAATAAAGAAGTAACTTTCAGACACGAATTAGAAGAAAAGCCCTCTTGAAACAGCTACTTTCATATACACGTTGAATTATATAAAAGAAAAAAACTTTAGAAACAAATAGGTACTTTTTATATGAACACTGAATTATACAAAAACACTTTTTCCTACTCAGTTTGTATTCCAAACATTCGTTATGGAAATAAATCAGATATTATTCACAGGATTACTACACAATATAGTAAATGAAAGAGGGAAAATTTCGCTTACATGAAACATTGTCATCCTCACTGGTGGACATAAGACAATAAGACATCTACCCTTTTGCCTCTTCAGCACCAATTGGATAACATTATAAAATGAAGCAAATAATTCATTCATAAAATTACGACTTCATGTCACGAATGAGTTGAATCTACTCATATCATCGATGACAGTAAGTAATGACATTCATTCGCTCATTTGAATTCATCCCAGCCAGCGTGTTAGGAATCACACGTTAAAAGGTAAGACCTCGTTAATCCTTAGCTCGCACAAGTTTTGACTTCTGAGGGTTGTCGTTAGTAGGGGTGCGACAGCTGGTTAACAGAAAAACAGATTTTAAACAGATTTTTAAACAGATAAAAATCTTGTTCATATTGAAAGGAGTATATTTTTAGAATAGATTGATCTTTGGGAAAGAAAGGTGTTACCTCTACTTCTCCATCTTTATAAAAAAATTTGGGAATCTTTCAAAAAATGGAATGAAACAATCAATTTCAAAAAATTAGCTTCAAACAAAGATGTGGATTAACAGGATCGCTACACAATATAGTAAATGAAAGGGGTAAAATTTTACTTACATGGAACATTGTCATCTTCTCTGGTGGACATGCGATGTTTCGAAATATTTGCCCTTTTGCCTCCTTAGCACCAATCTGGATAACATAGGATTATAAGATTTTGCTTTCGAAACACTGGGCAAGTCCAGTAGGAATAACAACGTTACTGTGACCACCACTCAAAAAAAAGAAAACATGTTGCTCATATTCTTGAGGTCTAGTAATTAATGAACAAATTTAGTACTTATGTAGAAATTGTTATAAATCAAAGACTTTATATCAACTCTTGTAAAGAACTGAAGCTAATTTGAAAAAAGGGAATTATGAGTTTATAAAGGGTTGTTATATCACTATAAATCTATACATCGTATATTTCTTTTTCAAAAACTAAGACAATTTATAATTTGTGGCTCTGCAATGGAAAAAATGCATAGATGAAATCATTGAACAAAGCTCCACCCAAGTATTAATGTGAACTAAATCAACGTCAATTCATAAATATGCATATTTGTACAACATGTCCAAATAAAATGAAAACGACCCACAAAATCTATATTCTCCATCCAAAAATGAAACAACTAGCAATAATATGCCTTGTTCAATGACAACATTTTGATTGTTGATATCCACAATTATTTTCCGGTGATGACTGGCGTATTGCTGATACTTTGAGACTATTAAGAGATCACAGCTTTGAAATCTAAGTCCATGAAAATAAATTCAACCAACATAGAAAATTTGAAGCTCGCTCGTACCTCAGTACAACAGCCCCACTGAAATTTACACACATCGCCAAAATTCTTGGCCCCACCTCGTAAATTGTTGAACGAAATATTTATCATGGATGCTAGAAATCCAAAATTGTTTACAAAAACAATGCTTGAAGACTAGCAGTAAACAAATCTAAAGAAATGAACTTTAAACGTTCAAGCCAGTCTCGAATATACCTACACAGTAGATTGAATGGACTGACGCCTATCAGAAAACAACTACTCCCCTGGATAATACCACGAATGGCGTTGGGTTATATCCGACAGGCGTCAGTGCAGGAATCTTCACAGAAAATTTCCTGCATATGCAATTGGCAATACAACTGAAAGAGTCGATCTCCAATTTTGGAACGGGCCTACTCGCAGACCGGTTTCGGGCTCATTAGTTTTTCGTCAGTGCAAGATAGTGGCCATCATCGATCGAAAGTCAATGATGTTCCATAATTAAAAATCGGAATCCTTTCAGAGTATTTTATTCCTCTTCCTAAGTTGGAGCCAACAACGAAATGTCACTCCATCTAGTGGACGAGGTACTAATCAACTAAATATTCGAAATGATGGTACTGAATGGTGCATTTGTATTGAGGAACTAATAACGTTCACAGAAGACGTGAAACTGAGCATCTAGCAGGATATGTACGTCAAAATTGAACTAACCACAACAGACTTACCTGTCCGAACTCATCAAGGAAGAATGTTTGGTACTACGGTACGACGAAGACTTGTTAGAGCCCATTTGCAATTCAGGGGGCCATTAGGAGTACCTACCCAGGTTACTTCCCAGACTAGCCGCTCGTTTACAGTCGACACAGAAACACAGGAACCAGATTTAGTTTAGTTGCTGAATCGGCGACACAGTTTGGAGAGGCCAGGGCGATAAGAAAGACTATATTTTGCCAGAGAAATTGTTCCACACCAAGGAGGTTCAGTAACGTTTTGGGGAGGCATAGTGCATGGTCGTCGTACATTCCCGACACTATGACGGGATAGGTATGTTCGAAACATTATTGATCCAATGATTTATTCTCTTAGACATGAAATGGGAGCCAATTAAATTTTCATTGCGGACGATGCTAGGCCCCATCACACGAGTAGAGTTCAAAATGCACTGGAGATTGAGAATATTACCGTGGCCAGCAAATTCGCCAGACATGAATCCCATTGACAGCATTACAATGGATACCATTTACGCCCTTATTATTTCCATGCACTACTGCGGTAGTAAACAAAACGTTCATAGTAAACTTTATATAATACATAGTCATTTATTAAAGACTCGGGACACTTTATCGAAAAGCGTAGAGATATGAAATAAGGTCCTGGAGTATTTCCAGTCATCTGCGTTGACTGTTGAAAGCACAAAAGGTTTTTTTAACGCGATTGTGAAAAATATTGAGTTTCAATGGAAATTTTATTCAAAATCGATTTATTTAAATCGTATGTAAAATATGTGAAACCGCAATATCAAAGATTCCACATCGTAATAACTACTAATAAATATTCAAGTGATTTACACAATGAGATATTATTTATAGAAATCAATTCATGTAGAAAACCGAAGGTCGGCAGCATCTATACATCTGCTTCATGAGTGTTGTTTTCTAATTATGATATTGAAAGCAGTATGTTTATATTTAGTGTTCTCGTATATAATGGCTAGTTCGTGAACAATGTTTACGTCTTGGTACAAACCTGATTTACTGGTAGGTTGAATATGAAACGAATCTTAATGAATCTCAAGAATGAAAGTAGCTGAACCCTTTTTGGAGTGTGATATTCGTATTCCCACGGCCTGGCCTGGTAATCGGAATATGAATTACTGAATAACAATAATTTCATTCTTGTTGTGGAAAGAAGACGTGTTTGAACGAGTTCCGACCGAATGTTCCAATTATCATCGGTTATTTCTACTATCTGTAGTGTGTTCAACAGTTCTTTCATCTTTGATCTTCCTCTTGAAGATGATCACTTGGTTATCGAAACACGTGTCGAGGTGTTAAAATAACGGTTTAGTGTTGGGAAAAACTCCAGTAATATTTATACACAAATGAGAATCGATTGTTTCTCACTTGCGGAGACATTCATTTCATTTCATTGGAGTCCATGCCACAAAATCGACCATAGTAGCATTCTCCGAAACGACCAAAATACAGGGTTAAGAACCTTCGAAATTTCGGAGTGAAGAGAAACATCCATCAGGAAAGGTTAAATATCTAGTAGTAATACAAGATTCAGACTGACCTGCAAAGCAATATTCAAAAAGTTTAAAAATTAAGCCGGAGATATCACTGTTGCTAAACAGCCGTAACCACGGAGAGACATGAAAGTTGAAACCAGACGTGATATATTTACTCTGGAAACATCAATTTGAGGACTCAACGAAATG